AATGTATACAAAAATTATACCCAAGTACCTGATTATACATTGAAAATTCGCGTATGTGAACGTATGCGTATGAATACACGCAACTGCACTGTACATATTTGTATCAGCGGACAATTACTTTATATATACGTTACAGTATTGCGTACAAGAACGACGTATGCGTATAAATACGAATTGCGGAGTTGTACAAATTTGTACAGGCATGAAATTGCAATTTATTTTTAAGAAGGACGCAAATGGCGGTAGTGTAGAGCTTCAGACGTAAGTAAATGCATGCTGAAAAAATCTCATTCAGTAGTTCAATTAATTTGAAATGGAAAAAGTTCTTCAATGAAACGTCGGATCTATGAAGTTGGAGTTGTTGATGCTGTTGTTGATGCTGTTGTTAATGTTTTTGTCGATGTTGCTGATGATGTTGATGATATTGATGTTGCTAATGTTGTTGATGTTGTTGTTAATGATGTCCTTCATATTGTTGGTGTTGTTAATGTTGTTGTTGATGCTGTTGATGATGTTGTGATGAGCTTGTTGATGTCATCATCGTCATCATTTCCTTAATCTCCCATTAGGTTTATCACATTCTCCATTGTTATTATTAAGCTGTACATACACATCTCTTATTGTACAAATACGTACAAGTGTTTGTGCAATAAGTGATTGCACACTTCACGATGTGTACACGTTTTTGTGCACATACAATTTATAAATATACATATGTCTTATATACATCTTTATACTTGTATTAAAAAACTTGATGTACGTTTTACAACTAATCACTTTTTGCCTAATTTGATACATTTGAGAAATATCTAAATATGTAACAAACACACGTACGCACAAACGCACACACATACTCACAACACACACACATATACTCGTACACATACACACACACACACACACAAACACACACATATACTCGTACACATACACACACATACACACACACGTATGTATAGTATATGACGCGTGTACGTTACGCCTGCGTCATTGCGTATGAAAATCAAAGTAAACAAAGAATGGGTGGTCGTCGTTATGATAATGACGTATCGTCAACGTCATCGCATTCTACTGCAACTTTCAACAACTGCTGACGTCAACAACAACATCAACAACAACAACAACAAATACATCAACAACAACATCAAAAACAACACCACCAACAACATTAACAACAACAAAATCAACAACAAATACATCAACACATACATCAACAAAAGTAAAATGACAACAACTCCATAGACAACCACAACAACCAGAAACATAAGCGATCACCATAATACGCTTTATTCAGTTACAAATCCAACAACAACATTAACAATGACGTCATTAATGACATCATCATTGTTGTCATCGTCATCATTGTCTTCGCCATCATCATCATCATCATCAATCGAACCTTCTTTCGTGCTACGAAGTCATTTCCAACTAAGACAAAGGAAAAAATTGAAAAATGGTATTGGCAATAAAAATATAAGAAAAAAACGCAAAAAATACAGAAAAAAAAATCCAAAAAAAAATCCAATAGAAAAAAAATCCAACAAAAAAAGTCACAAAATGTTTGTATTTCAATTTTGTCGTAATTCATTCGGTGTTTTTCCATTATTTAGTATTTAAATATGTAAGTGTTTGCGAATGTGTATGCGTTTGTATGTAAGTATATCTGTGTGCTTGCATGTACGTATGTGTATGTGTTTGTTTGTGTGTGTGTGTGTGGGTTTGTTCGCGTGTGTGTGTATGTTTGTTCGCATGTGTGTCTGTATGTGTGTATTTTGCGCGTATTAGTAATATTTATGATTCCTTATTCGGTATAATTGTTTATGTAGGCGTTTCTGCCATTTATGAATATGGTTTATGATGTTTATGTTGTCTATGTGGTTTCTGATGTCTATGTTCTCTATGTTGTTATTTTGTTTATTATATAATTTATGATGTTTATGTTAATAATGTTTATCTTGATTATGTAGCGTTTTTTTTATTACATCGCCATCATCATCATCATCATCATCATCATCCTCATCATCATCATCATAATCGCCTACTTAGATTTCATTCATTAATGTAATGATGCAAGACGAGCGATTCAATTGCACCTCTCGTTATTACGGGTAATAAAAGAAGAAGTAATATGATTGAAAGTGATATCATTATCATTCTACTACTACTACTACTACTACTACTACTACTACTACTACTACTACTACTACTGCTATTATAGCAACTACTGCTGATTTTGCTGCTACCACTACTGCCACTGCATCTACTACTATTGCTATTGCTGCTACTACTGTTACTTTTGCTGCTGCTACTACTGCTGCTATTGTTGCTACTACTACAGCTACAGCTACTACTACTACATTAACAACTACCACTACTACTAATAATAATAATACTACACACACACACAACTTGACACGACAACTAAAACAAATCTTAATGAAATAACACTCAAAAAATAATGATTAAGATTTTTTTTTTAATTTTTACTCTCTCTCTCTTC